ATGTCATGTGTTGTGAATTGGCGCTATATAAATAAGCTGAATTGAATAGACTCTTCTATCCTCATTTTCCATTCCTGCTTTGAACCAACAAAGTCTTTCCAATCTTATATTAAGACAACTTGCTCAGATGGTTGAAATAACATTGAGTATTATCAATGATATAAACAAACACAAAACAAAAGCAGGATGAGAGATAAAAAACAATAATCAAAAGTTTATTTTCAATAAAAAAGTTTAACATCACAAGCAATAATATAAAAAAAATTGCGAACAACAAATTAATTAAAACATTCAGACAGGCATGAACATTAAGTAAAAAACAATTAGAAAGCTAAAAAATAAACCTTTTGTAAGAAAACATAGAAATGTCTGCCTTCTATACTGTAAAGCTTACAAATTCTCTTAAAGCACCGTGATCTAACAGCAGAAAATACCTTCTAACTCAACTTTGCAATTGGACATAGTCGACTGCTTCCTCAAAGTCTTTCCTTCTACGTAAATTTTCCGAATTGAATACCTACCTGGTGAAACATAGTATAGAATAAAGGATAAAATATTGAGTTGATATAGTGGCCTTCTCAGAAAAAATGCATGACACACATAAACACGATAAACAAGTTTTCTACAAAAGACAACACTTTATGGCCAAAATACAACTAAGAAAAACTGATTGAGAACTGCTGCTGCTAGTTCAAACAACAGACCCATGATATAAAATATTATTCTATAATGGGAGGTTTCATAATTGCTATGCCATCTTTACCATTTAACCAGTTAACATTTAAGCAGGCCACAGTTGTAGCAGATTCATTTATCGTTCAGCAGGTCGCTGGTGTAGCAGTTGCCTCCATTGACCTTTATCAACTCATCGATCTTTTGGATCAGATCAGTAACTTGTGAGCGGTTCTTTTTATCATAGTTTTCAAACACATGGTATCTTTCTCCACAGTCAGAGATCAGCTTCTTACAGGAATCATCACATGAATCTTTAATATAATCTTCAATGGACATGTCATCTTGTTTTAGTGCGCCTCCTTTGGTGAAAAGGATGATTGTAAACTTTTCATAATTTTCTCCCAAAACTCCCTCAATAAGTGTGAATGTCTCTCTGTCCTCTGGTGATAATCTGCCGATCGGTAGCACCAGCAGGAAGACATGTGGACCTGGAGCCAGAAGATCAATGCATTTCATCAGCTCTTCATTGACCTGCTCAGGTGACAGATTGTTGTCAAACAGACCAGGAGTGTCGACAACAGCAAGACAACGACCGTCTACTTCAGTTTCAGCTTTTTGACACTTCATAGTAACTGACTGTGGAGATGCTTCAGTTTTAAACTTAATTTTTCCCAGGATGGTGTTTCCTGATGAGCTCTTCCCACTGCCGGTCTTCCCAATCAGAACAATCCGGAGACAATGAAGGCTGCAGGACTCCATAGGACCTGGAAAATTATAACAATGATGAGGATAAGAAACTGAGAACCTTTTTTATATTTCTGAATCAGGATCTCAAAAAATGTAAATCCTCAACCTAAAGTTAGAACACTTGCTCTAAACAGGAGAGAGTGGTCATCGCCTGTGATTGGCTACTTTTCAGGAAATCCCCCTCTAGTATTTTGATCCTAGTTGCCCCTGGTAATATTAGCAAAGCATCTGTAGGGTAATAACTGTTCTTTTCGAGATCAGAGTTCTGACTTCATACGCAGCAGCCAAATGTCATTGATTGACAGTTTTATAAACACCAGGGCTCTCAACTCTCTCAAAAATTGACTGTGAGACACATTAATTCCATCAGGTGCAAACTCTTACACACCTTCACTTCTCAAAT